CATAAAGGGCGGCCGGGGCCCGCCGGGGCTGCCAGCGGAGCGGGGTCCCCTTCCTGCCTCTCGACCGCCGCTGTCCCTGGGACACGCAGGTGAGCCGCAGGGCCGGGCCAGCGGCCCCGCTCCCCGCGCCGGCCGCATCCTTCCCCCCGGCACAGCGCATCCTTTCCCCCGCAGGCTCGCCCCGGAGAAAGCCGGATTCCCCTGGAGTCGCTGCCATGGCCTCCGTCCCCTCCGCCGGCTGCCTCCTGGCCAAGAACCAGTACTACAGGAGTGAGTGCTCGGCGGGGCCGGGAGCTGCGTGCTGTCCCCAAACACCCCCCGCCCTCCATTTCCCCTCTTCCTTTCCTTCTGCCTGGGGAGCGCCTCAAGAGGAGGGAGGCTGAGCCTCCCGAGCCTCTCCCGAGAAAGTGGCCGAGTTGTCTTTGCCTAATAGCTTTTAATTTATTGGAGAGTTTTTCCTATCACAGAACTTTAGTTTTAATGACCATCTGCTTCTAGCTATTAATTTAACTTCTTTTTTTTTAATGACTCTGTTTAGAATTATTTATTTGGGTTATGATATACATATATAATTAAATATATTTAATTATAAAACATGACCTAGAAAAAGTCCTAGTCTAGGAAGTTTCTACCTGTACTTCCTATTTACTTCATATTTACTTTGCAAATTTAGACACAATACGAAGTCAATTTGGATTTTTATTTCTTTATGTGTGAAATAATCACTGCTTTGAGAGTACATGTGGTGTACTGGGATTCCTAGGTCCAGGATGGACACTAGTGTGAGTGTAGCATTTACCTGTGTCACAAGGGAAAGTAGAGCAATTAGGTTGTTGTGGACTTGAATGTTCAAGGATGTACTTGCTTGTCTTGATAGCAATGTGGCCATGATCTTAAATTTTGTCAGTGATTTCAGTGAAAGTTATGCAGACAGATCTCAGTATACTTTTAAAGGAAGTGTAAGTAGAGTGATAGAGAAACTGATACAAAAATTCTTATGAAAACCACTGTAGTAGAACAGTGTATATAACAAAGAAGTTACACTCTGTAGCTCAGTGAAATTGTTTCCTCTGAGGTAGCAGCATGACTGAAAAACTCCTGACATATTAATAATGCACTCTCTCAAAGCATCTTTTTTTCATTACGTGCGTCTCTGTTTTCCACGAGCAGCAAGACTGAACTCGGAATCCAGCGTTTCTTCCAGCTCTTCCTGCTGTTTGGATGCTGTGAACGTCACAGAGCAGGACAAAGCAATGCATGGTATTGTTCCCTTCTTTGAAACACTTTTCAGTTTTTCCTGACACTCATCCAGTGTCTAATGTTGTGGGCTTTTCTCCTTTGGCAGGGTTACCAGAGTTAGTTGATAAATATTGGTGGATAAAAAGCTTCTTCCATAGTGAACCTTCTCCACCAACTGTTGGTAGAAAAACACTCTCAGCAAGCAGGTGAGTCCTGTTTTTAAAACAGTGGGGATTACTTACTTGCTCTGCTTTCCTTTTGGTAAAAGTGTTTGTAAACAAGTCATGATCAGCTAAAGCCATCTGGTGGGGTGCAATGCTGTTTTGATGATTTAAGTCAACTGTGCATCAAGTCTAAGGCTATAGAACCTCTCCATGTTTTCATTTTAACGAATGAACTCATATGCTGCTTCATATTATGCAGGTGGTAGTGCCTAATACTGTTTCACTGTTATGGTGATGTTTATTTAATCATCTACCCATAGAACTTGCACAACCATTTATAGTGTTTGGCCATTTTATTTTATGTTAAAAAGATGAAATGAACGCATTCAAAAATATTTAGCCAGATATTTTACATCAAATATCTTTGAGGTAAATACAATGAAAATTCCATTTATAACCTTTTTATATATATTTCTGCAGTACCAACAGTTGAAAAGGACAGCGTGATGGCTTTTCTGACTGAGATGCTACATACAGACTTGTTTTTCCAAGAGGCTTGGGGTCTTCCTAATGTCTGGGTTCAGCTGCAAGAAGAAAACAAAACCTTTAGGAGAGTGGAAAAGTGTATTTTCAAAATATTTGTCAGTAGCTAAAATGATATTGCTTAATGGACATATCCATGGCCTACCGTGTTCTTTCCAGATTTGCAATAATTTGTGATGTTTCTCTAATGGAAGTTTCAAGGACTAAACATCCTGATGACTTACTTGAATAATTAGAGAAAAGTGACAGTAAAAACAAGACGTCATAGGTTTAGGAGGAAGATGCGTGATTCAGTTAAGTTGCCTTCAAGATACCAGCTCTATAGGCAGTCACACTGATGTAAACAGGATTCAGATCTATGATCCAGAGTAGGACTGCTGTGTGGCACTTTTATCCAGTATTTATGTACCAGTTACAGGGGTAAGTTTACAAGAATGCTTGTCAATAACTTTTGTTTAATTTATTTAGAAAGCCCAATTATATGAACAAGCAGTAATCAGTTTGGTTTCTTTGATCAAGCAGAGTGCATAGATCCCAACTTCTACAAGTACCCATGTACCACTTTCATTCCTACCTATGGATGCTGGTATTTGAGGACAGAATAGAGGAGATGCACAAGAAACCAGTAATCCTAATAGAAACTGACCTCTTCCACGGGGAAGAGCAGCCTTAATCAGTTGATACTTCTAGTTCATTTTACATTTCTTCTGCCTGCTTTATTGTGGCTTAAAGATCTACTTGCTCCTAAATGACTAATTCTATCAATATTCTGCTGTCTGTCTTACTAGTTATGAGGGCTAGGTCTGGCAAATGATTCCACTCAAAGTAATCACATTCTTGTTGTTATCCAAGTGTACCTTTGGCATGCTCTTGAAAGGTACTATAACATTGCAGTGCTGAAGACTAAATGAAGCTAATTAGTGTAACGATTGTTTATTCTATTGGCCATGACTGAAATGCATCAAGGATTATGGAAAATAGCAAGTATTTGGCTGGATGATAACATTTGTGACAAGTATCCATGCAACTTTTTGATGTACTATCACTAAACCTGCTGGATATTTGTTCATCACTGGATGAACTAACAGTAGCAAACATTTATGTAGCCAGCATCTTTTTGTTATAGGTTAATGGTTGTCATGGTTATGCATAACTCCAAGGTGTATGAAGTGGCTGCTTCAGGGAGTTTACAGTCTTGATGGAGGCAATAAATGCATGGCAGATGACAGCAGAAAAGAGCACAATTCTGAAAACATGATTTCAAGGGTCTTTAAATTGACTTGTGTCTTACTTTACTGCTATTGTATAGTTTCATTGTTCTCTGAGTGTACAGAATGACCTTTTTTATACTTAGATTTTTTTCTTAATAAAGATTTAATCAATATTTTGTCTGACATTTTTGGCCTCCAAAAGCAAACTGGTGTTCCATGTTGGCTGGGGTGGAGTTGCTGTGTGGGGTTTGGGTTTTCTTTTTTTAATGTGTATTTATTTTTCCTTTTTAAAACAAGGTATTTGAAAAATATAAAATCCCCTGAAAAGCCTATGTTGTATGTGCATCACATTCTTCCTTTAGTCACTTCAAGGTCTGATGTGACTTGGAAAAGGAGTGCAAGCTAGGAAAAAGCCCCTAACACCTTTTGCTATAAGATCATGTTGTAAAGGAAGAGAGAAAGACAACAACATAGTTGCAAGAAGGTGACTGTGACTCTCTTTGAAGATGCTTGAAATGACAGAAGAAAGAGATGCTGTAGCCTTAGTGTAATTATACATGTGAAATACCAATTTCAAGAAACACCGTGGAAAAGAAGTCACAAGTTCCCTTATTACTCATTGAGATTAAACTGTTTCTGTCCTTTACAGAGCCCAAATTTTGGGTGTAGAACAGGCTCAAACAGCTGATACGCTGTTAAAACCCACACTACCCCCCCAAACCAAAACACAGTTATTTTTCAGGGAGTGGTGAGGGGAGGAAGGCTGCATGATGTTCACTTTCATCTGCTTAGGCCCCATGAACAGCTTGTTTTTGTAATGGCATCAGTGTGATAGAAATCTCTGCTCCAGAGAGGTGTCCTCCTGCCAGCCACATCCTCTTCTGCTGTGATCAGCTCAGCATTTGGGCAGCACTCCTGCCAACCCATAGTGATTTGTGCCAGTTCTTCAAAGTGTGCAATGAACCAGCTCCATTAACTAATATCTAATGTTGCTATAACAAACTCCTGAGAGGACATGGGTAAATGGGACATGAAAGGGCTTGCAAACAAAGGGCTGCAGTTTTTACATCTCAGCAACAGGAAAATGTTAGTTTTCTTGATTTAAATGCCAATTCAATGCACTTTTGAGGGGAGGGGAAAGCCAAAATTTAATTGATTTAAAGAGAAGCTGAGATAAATAGGAAGGGGAAGCTATATTGTATAGTTTAAATGATGCTTAGAATAATGAAAACAGGAAAATAGTATGATTTCATATGCCAGTCTAGGCAAGGCAGGTACGAATGTTTGATCTGCTTTTTGCTGTTATAAAGTCTATAAGTAGAGGTCTATTTTGAGTTAATCTATATATTGTTATCCATCTGGAAAAAATGTAGTAGACACAAGAGTTGTGCCAGCATGTAAATACTAACTTAGATCCAACTATCATAGCCAAATTAAGACTGGAGAGCTGGCCTTGAGAAAGACTTTTTTTTTTCTTTACCTCAAGCACATATATAGATAGCTATGATGCTTAATAACAGACTTCCATTTCTTCTCTAAAAGTAAATTTAAGTAATAGTATCCTGGTCCTAGCAGTATCCTGTTTAAAAGTGAAAATAGAAGAAAATTCTTGTATCATTTGTTTTTTGGTTCAAGAAGGACAAAATCTTCCTGTTCTACATATTTAGAAAGAGAAATTCATAATAAGGATTTTTTTTTCCCCAGTTGTTATTTGGAAGAAATACTGCCCAGTTGTTATTTGGAAGAAATACTGTAAAGTTACATTTCTTTTCTTGAGTTTCCTTGCCTGTATGTGAGGTAAGCAATACTGCATATTGTGGATGGACAATCACAAGGATTAACTCTAAAGACTGTAGCTATTGCAGTGAAATGGGATTTTTTATTTTTTTTGTAAACTTTTTCTGCAGAAGCAAGAATGATAAATGGACTGAGGTAAATACAACAGATTTTCAATATAAGAATGAAGAGCAAATCTAACAGCAAATCAAACTAATTTTGAGTTCTTAGGAGTAAGTAATATCCTTGTAATTTTTTTCTTAGGGTTACTCTCTTTGTGGTATTACAGCATTCTGATACTTGAAAATAATTGCAAATCCCTCTTCATTTTTTTTCATGCTCTTAAATAATAGTTCATTATTTCTTCTTGAAAGCAGACTCTCTGTTATTGTCACTTCTCAACTCTTCTATGAAGGAAAACCCAAGCAGTGTTTACTCAGATATTTCTTCCAGGATTAATATTGTTTGCAAATCATTTCTCGGTTTATTGCACATACAGCTGGTGACTGAAAATTTTGACCATGACCATGTTCATTGCCCTGGCTGACTCCATTGATGGAGGGATTCTGTCAGATTTCTTTTGTCATGCAGTCTGTCATATGCCATTTTAAGCTGTTCTGGCAGTTGCAGATGTGAAACTCACTTTTTGTAATCACTGGAAGGTAGTTTTTTGTAATAGAAAGAAGCTATTACTATTAAGGAAAAGAATCAGATCTGTGTTTTGGGAGGAAGTTGGGGAAAAGCATGTTTTTTGCTTTTTTTTTTCCACTTCCATCCCTCTCAGAAACTGTAGAGAAAGAAATTGCTGTTTCCCAGCCATATGACAAAAGAGAAGATTCAGCTCCCACTTACAATACTTGATGGTATATTCAGAGACATTCTATTGACTTTTTCTCCAAAATAAAATTATAAAAATGCTTGTAGTCAAAATGACAGAACATGACCTAGACAGAGATATAATGTTAGAACAGATCATAAAAGGAATACAAAAGGACCTGTACACTCAAAGAAGTTGCTTTTTTTAGCTATGTCGACCACTGTGTCTCCTTCAAACTCAACCATCTTTGATATCAACAAAATTAATTTTCATTTATACCTGTGATACAGAAGACATAATCTCACTTTACTTGTTTAGTTAAGGTAACACCACTGGGTGCAAGATAAAACTGTTTTGTCAGTTTGTAGAGGAGAACCAAGGTACAGCTTGATGTCAGCCACCCTACAGGGATTATCTCCAGGACAGACTGGAGCCTGGATGTCCAGGAGAAACCCAGCAGTACTGGAAGTAGCTTTTCAGAAAGGTATTCAGATTTTGTTTCCCTTTCCTTTTGCTTTGTTTTGTTTTCTGTTGCTCTTTTTGCAAAAAGTAAAAAAATCACTTCATCCTGACTTTGAAGTAGTCAGAGAGGGAGAGTCTGTAAAACAGCCCAAAAGTAAAGTAAAGTAAAAAAAAAATAAAAAATTGTGGCTGATCAGCTTAATCTTTAAAGATCTTTCCCCCTGGTACCAGCTTGAATTTCTCTGTGAACAGCAGATTAGGTGCTAGTCAGAAATGCACAACCTAAATAAAGTTTTGAAGTGCTGATTCCACCTTCTCTTCAAGGATCTGTCTGAAGAGATTGCATCATTTTGTTTAATATCCAGCTACTGGATACTGGATACTGACTTCAAGAAGTATTTCAGCACTGTAAAAGTGGATCAATAGGTGGAAGCAGCTGGAGATGTGCTTTTTGCTTCTGTGAGTCAAAGCTAAAAGCCAGGCTCCCAGAGTATGTTTTGGACTCCAGTTTACAGACTACTGCTATGTGAGCCAAATGAGAAGGAAAAAGGTGATGCTGCAGTATTGACATGGCATCAAAATGTTGGCCAGCTTGAAATCTTGGATCCTGAACTACCACTCAATTCACTTTTAAATGAAATTTAATGAGTAAATCCTTAATATCTCAAAAAATAATATGTTTAAAGAGTTCTGTGTAGCACAAGTGCTTGTATGAAATAATCTGAAATCATATTTTTGATATTTAATTTTAAAATAGTCTTTAATCCTCTCTTTGATAAAATGTATTGTACAATTTTTTTGTTTTAATTCCATTATTACACATTGTTACATTATATAGAGTAGCTTTTTCATCTTGAAAAAAAAGTCACTTTACAGTTTGAATAAAATTTTGGAATCTATGAAAGGTTCTTACAATAAACCTTGTTTGGATATCATACATCTTTTTAAGAACCTATAAAAGTCATGTTTCACTGTTTCGTAATAGTCCAGAAGTGAAAGGATAATACTAGGGGTAAAAAACACAATGAAATAAGTTTTTTTAAATAGGTATTTTCCCAACATATTTTAAGCAGGTCAATTTAATGTTGTCATGACTCCAGCTCTGAATCACCATATACTTAAGTTCAGAAGAAATCTGGAACCACCATAGCATCACACTGACAGGATGTGTTAGTGGCTACACCATTTCTGCATGTCAGTAACAGATTGAGTGGAGTATTGAATGTAACTGTAAGTTGTGTGTAGTAATACCTTTGCATTCTGTCACAATAAAATGCCTGCCTGCAAAATACAATATCAATTTGAGGAAAAAAATAAATAAATCAAAACAAAACTCTGCAACAAAAAATTCCTCCTTCACATTTTGTGCTTTCCAGAGACATATTTTTCTTGATGAAGTATTACTTCCTTTGTATTTCTTTCTAACATGGCTGCAAAAGACTGACTAGCAGAAATGCATTTTGCAAATAAATAGTTGCTTCCACTGCTAGTTCTATTTGATTATTATTATTGTCCTACATTAATTTTTTGCTGTTACTGTTTAATGTGTTTAGTGGGGAAGTTTCTCTGTGTGTCTCTCACTGTACTGTGAATTTAACTATTTTTTTGTCTTGAGGGGGCACCTTTATAATATAAACACTTTTTAAACAGCTTCTCACCACTCAAATAGAGCTCCAGTAACTAAGGCAGTCAGCTCAGACCTTCTGAGATAAATGTGCTTAGGCTGTAACTCTCTCATGTAAGGATTGACTTTTATTCTGCATTTTTACAACATAGCATTGGATATTAATCTTGAAATGCATCAACTGCTTGGCATTATAAAATTATATAAGGCCTTTATGACTAATTCTGAAAATGGATGACCCTTCACTTCTCTTTGGATGTTAAAGCATCTGCTGCATTTGAAAATACACAGAAAGCAAAAGTGGTTTTTGTAATAAATAAATGTAAACTCGTTGATAATGGATTTGAAGTGAAAAAAACCAAAACAAAACAACAAAAAGGATCACAAGGTGGATGGCTGTGACAGTCATTATCAAACCTACCTAAAATCCTAATTATATGTAAGGATAATTATGACTCAGACTCACAGAGTTCAAGTTGTTATTAATGCTCATTCACTGTCCTCTC